CCCCCCCCCCCCCCCCCCCCCCCCTCCGACTGTCCTCGGCCCACCTCTTGCAGACGTAGCCCCTTTCATTGCAGGTGCCATCGCATATTCCATCATGATCCCCCCTTCTACAGGAGAAGGAGAACACGTAATCCAGTGGACTTCCTCCAACACGTCCTGGAGGACTCCGAATGCAATGCGCTGGATATGTTGCTCTGGACACTGGAGAGGGGATTGAGGGGATGTTTGTGTTTTTGTTGTAAATGTTTTCTAATGTTTTCATGTAGTACCAAAAAATACCAAAATATGTTTTATATTAAAAAGGCAATATACTGTGGAAACAATTTAAATGCGGTGTTAAGCAACATAACGGGGTCGAAGGGAGAGGAGGTTTTCATTGTTGTCAATGGTGAAGAGAAAAGGCTTTTGAATTAACTTTTGAATTAGCTCAGAACTGTTGAGATTGAAAGAAATGTGAAAGCGGCCACTGAGACTTCCTTTCCACTTTTGTTTTCTTTCGGGTGTTCGTGGTCTGAATGTACATATATGATATGATGGAACCTGTCGGATCCAACGCTCTTTGAGCAGAGACGAGGATGCAGGTAAGTGATTGTTGATACTGGCTCTGGCTCAGTGAGATGAGCTCACTCAAGCAGTCCGGTCAGATCCTGGCTCAGTTTTTGTTTTTTTTTTGTTTTTTTTTGACGGATGAGCACATTTCTTGGTCATGCAATGACCGTGTTAAAGTCTTCTTTTTCTTCTTTGTTGGTGTTGTGCTAGGGGAGGAAAACTATGGAAAGTAATGCTTTAAGTCGTCACATTAAATTGACAAATAAAGCTTCCAGAGAAACAAATGCACTGCCTATTGTAGATGATTAGTGTTCATTGTATTAATAGTTTTATTTGGTAGTAAAAGAATGAATGTATGTAAAGGCAACCTGACGGAGAAGAGTCCCTTCCTAAAGGGACAGGAAACGAGGCTGGATTACCAACGGGCAACTATGCCTGCCCCCAAAATATTCCTTTTTTTTTTTTTTTTTTTTAGGTAAATCCACACCACTATAGAGCAACATCAGCTGGCTCCCTAAAATATGAAGTAATATTGTGAAACTGACAATCTAGTTCTAAGGCCTCTAGTGTTCAATTTATGCAGTTTGCTGAAATAATTCAAGAATAAGTGATTGTTTTGGCCACTTGGGGGCAGCTGAAGCGAGCTGTAAACTCAACATTTACATCTCCTCACCTTTAAGTTACTATTGTGAACTTGTTCGTAAACAACAGTTGCTTTCTGAATAATGAATATGAGTTTATATCGCTTACTTACAGTTTGACCTTTTACAGCCAATTTTATAAATGCCACATCAAATCTATTTATCGGATTTGATTTAACAATCCAGGATGTTCATCTCAAGGCAGTTTAGATTTAAACTTTCACAGAATGTATTTGCAACTTTGTTCATACCGGTGCTTTGACAGGGAGCCGTGTGTGTGTGTGTGGTGGGTTTCCATCACCAGCCATGCTCTCTAAGCAGGACGGCACGTTGTTCCCATCATGGCCCCCTGGGGGAAGAGGACCAACTGGTGGCCGTCGGCCTTCCCTTCATCTGCTGCTTCCCGCTGCCAGGCATGGGGCCACGTCAGCTGGTGGCCCCACACTGGCATCGCATAGCTGGAGGTATCAACACACTTCCGGAAGACGGTTTAACTGTTTTAATGTCAGTTGGCAGAATCCTGCCTGGGTAGCCTGGCAACAGGCTTTAGTATTAAAGCTGCAGTTCTGCATGCATTATTCTCCAGCTGTGGTGACGGATTAAGTGTGTAGGGGAGGTTACCGGAATGTAGAGTAATGAGTGCTCATCGGCACTGCTCAGGCCACACAGGTGATTAAGCAGCTGCTTCCAAGGCTGACACAGGCAGAAACCTCAAAAACAAGTAATATGGAGCCAATTTGCTCAAATTAACAGGAACATAATACAATGAAAGATGTTTCTCATAATATGTTTTATTGAGCTAAACCAGACATTAATGTAATTGTCATCGAGGCCTTTTTTCCCCACACGGGTCCAAAACAGTCTTACTTTTATCTCAGCCTCTCAACTCTATTTCACTTCACTGGACGGTGCGAGCAGGAAATGTAGTAGGCCTACTGGGTGTAGTGTGGCAACTGGCATGATCATCAATCGGCTAGGGCGGGACAAGCTGGTTTGACAGAAAGTGTAGAGAGAAATCAATACAGACAAATCGATATCAACTAACTTTAAATATTACTGCAATATATAATTCAACATTCTCATTAAATGCTCCTTTCTGAAACCATCTTTAGTTACAGTGAGACATTCAGACTCTTGGCCACTTTAAAAGGGCTTTACTGGTTCACTAAATACGTAGTGTTAATACCAGATATCTACACTACATATATGAATGTCCTGTATACACACTACCCTTGAGAGGTCTGTGGTCGCCGGAAAAAGCTTTGTTGCAGTCGGATGTCTTGGAGGACTAATTTATATATATATTTTTAAATTTTATTTCCGATAGTACAAAGTCTATTCAAAAGCCGATAACAAGCTGGAATATTAACAGGTGTGATGAAAGCTATTCATAATAGAAATATCACAAAACATTTAGAGCAAGCACCGTTATGATTAAATAATGATCTAGGGTCACTTCGGCTTTTCTGAACTGGAAAACCTCAAAATCAAAATGATTTGAGGGAAAATGGTTACAACAGTATTCTCCCCTGGCATGCAACACTGTAGGGACATAGACTACATGTAAGTTTTAATCATTTGATTATTATTCTTTTCAGGCAAAAACTATTTAAAATGTAAGTTACACATTTGGTGTCAAACTTTTAATATTTTTGTCTGTTAAAATAGTAATTATTGAAGAAAAACATCAATACAATAGGTGACCTTAAACCTTTTAGAGGCAATATAGTGCTAGAAATATAGATGTTTAGAAATGCACACTTTTTTTTGCCTTTTGACATTTTCTTGACAAAAATCATACCCCTTGGTGTACTTAAGTTATTTTTAAAGGACACATAAATTAACAAACTATAACTAAGACTATTCAGAATAGTTTTTAGTCTATATTTCACTTTTTTTAACAGTGTAAATTATTTTAAAAAGCAGCATACTTTAGGTTTCTAAAAACGAATGTTTCATGACCTACAAACACGTATAATAATTTGTGAGTAATTTTGTTCACAAATGCATTGTTCAACCCACAAATAAATACAAACCAATTACAACAAATGTAAAACAATTTTACATTTTATATACATTCCAGCTTGTAAAAATACTTTCTTATTTATTCAAGTGTTTCCTGAGACATTGCATGTCCTTGTCTCCCCTCTGAAAGGCTCGAGAGTTGTATCAGACGTCACGCTGCTCTGACATGTTCAGTGTGATTTCGACAGGACGAAGCGATGCAGAGCACATGAAGAGATCCAGCAGATGGCAATCACACACTGACATGGAGCTCGAAGACAAATCGTATGTTCACATCATAATCATCAATATCAATAGAAGTTATGTTAATACATAATATTAATTATGGATCCTCATCTGTTTTTGTTTATTAATCCAACGTTGTTTTTTTGACAGAACTTAACCTGCAGAGCTTTGGCCTGACTTTTTTTTTTTTTTGGTATTTCATAACACTGACCTCTGATCACAGCTGTCCGGGAAATCATTTTGAAATCTGGACTCTAAACAAATCAATCACTCTTGTGGGTGCAAATCTGTGCAAACAGACATGGAAGAAACACTGCCGAACGCTGCAACATTTACTGGAATGTTACATGTATAACATATACAATATTAGAGCCTCAGGGCACTATACAGTTTCATCCTTGGTCAGCATGTTAACAATGTTAACTTTCTAATCAGATTAAGGTGTTCACAATATGGAGATGATATCATGATCATTATGATTGTTAATAATACTTTATTATGATTAAGAGAAACTCATAATAATGAGGTTCTGTCTTATAAATATGACTTGCACTTGTTTATGTCATAACTCTGACTTACTATCACATTATGATGAGAAACTTCCTCACCATATTAATATTAGTCATAGTATGAGAAACATGAAAAAAGACGAATAGACAATATTGATTTTATTTTAATCTTTTAAGAACAGGGCAAAGTGTTGTTCTATACTTCATATCTCACACGTATCTCTGATTTCAATATGCAGTAAGTGTTTGTAATGTACATGCTTGCTGCATTTTATCAATGTGTTGATTTAAGAGCAACAGCGTGATGTCAGAGACAGAGTGATCACTCCACGTTTCCTAACTTTTTTGGGAAATACTCTCAACAATTATTAACTGGTTTTCATTTCAACTGGGCTCTTCGCTCTGCTTGGTCGTGCAATATTTTAATTCCAAACAAAATGTGTGTAAGGTATCTTGGATTTGTTCTTCTGGCTTGTTTTCCAGGATTGCTTCACGGTAAGAACATTAAATAATATCACCTGTCAGTTTATTTATTTATCTTTTTAAGCGTTTCACTGCAGCGCTCTCTGTTTCAGCACAAATTGCAACTCAGCCTTGTTCAGCTCCCAGACTGAATGGTGGTTATTTGGTCCCTGAAAAAGACACATATAATCATGAAGCCAAGCTCACTTATGCCTGCGATAACGGACGTAAACCAGCAGTGGAGGGCTGGTGGGCAACAAGCACATGTCAAAATGGCACATGGTCTCCAGAACCAGAATGTATAGGTAAGTGTTGAGATGCAGAAAGCCTTTGTTCTTGTTTTTTAGCATAAACTGTATGTCACCTTAAATATTTTATGGGTTTTTTTTCAACACTCCTTGGCAACTTTATTATATTCATCCAATGTATAAATACTTCAAAAGAATGAAGTCCTCTATCTGTAGCTTTAAGACACTGTAGAGCATAAACTATGTTTTACATTTCTGAATGATAGTGTTCAATATTTATATCCAAGAATTGAAAATTACTGAAAATTCAGATTTTGTTGCTATAATAAATCAAAAGTAAAAGATGTTAAAGACAGCCACCGTGGTAA